AAAGGGGGAAAAGAGAGATAAGAATTGACAGAAAAGGAAAGAGTGCAAAGGCTATCGGAACGGAAATAAACAAAGATACAGGCACAGAAACGGTGAAACGGAAGGAGAGTAATCATGTGATCGGAAGAGTAATTATGAAAATGCTTTGAGAACGGAGAGAAATCTATTGATCGGAAAAGCAAGGACGGAAGGGTTTGAAGAAGGAAGGAAAATCAGGATATCCGAAAAGATTTGATAATGGCGAGAATTTAAGAGACAAGAAAAGAATGATTGAAAAGGCTTTAAAAACGTTGTGAAATCAAGATATAGGGGCACAAAACGGGTGAAAAAGCTTTAAGAAGATTGCAAAATCAAGGGAAATGAGCAGAAAGGGTGAAACTGCTTTAAGAACATTGCAAAATCGAGAGAAATAAAGCAGAAAGGGTGAAAAAGCTTTAAGAACATTGCAAAATCAAGAGAAATGAGCAGAAAGGGTGAAAAAGCTTTAAGAATTTTGCAAAATGAAGAGAAATGAGCAGAAAGGGTGAAAAAGTTTAATATTATTGCAGAATCAAGAGAAATGAGCAGAAAGTATGAAAAAGCTTTAAGAACTTTGAAAAATGAAGAGAAATAAGCAGAAAGGGTGAAAAAGCTTTAAGAACATTGCAAAATCGAGAGAAATGGGCAGAAAGGGTGAAATTGCTTTAAGAACTTTGGAAAATCAAGTGAAATGAGCAGAAAGGGTGAAAAAGCTTGAAGAACATTGCAAAATCGACAGAAATGGGCAGAAAGGGTGAAATTGCTTTAAGAACTTTGGAAAATCAAGTGAAATGAGCAGAAAGGGTGAAAAAGCTTTAAGAACTTTGAAAAATCAAGTGAAATGAGCAGAAAGGGTGAAAAAGCTTTAAGAACATTGCAAAATCAAGAGAAATGAGTAGAGAGGGTGAAAAAGCTTTAATATTATTGCAGAATCAAGAGAAATGAGCAGAAAGGGTGAAAAAGCTTTAATATTATTGCAGAATCAACAGAACTGAGCAGAAGGGGTGAAAAAGCTTTAAGAATATTGCAAAATCGAGAGAAATGAGCAGAAAGGGTGAAACTGCTTTAAGAACATTGCAAAATCAAGAGAAATGAGTAGAGAGGGTGAAAAAGCTTTAAGAACACTGCAAAATCGAGGGAAATGAGCAGAAAGGGTGAAACTGCATTAAGAACATTGCAAAATAAAGTGAAATGAGCAGAAAGGGTGAAAAAGCTTCAAGAACATTGCAAAATCAAGAGAAATGAGTAGAGAGGGTGAAAAAGCTTTAATATTATTGCAGAATCAAGTGAAATGAGCAGAAAGGGTGAAAAAGCTTTAAGAACATTGCAAAATCGAGAGAAATGAGCAGAAAGGGTGAAACCGCTTTAAGAACTTTGCAAAATCAAGTGAAATGAGCAGAAAGGGTGAAAAAGCTTTAAGAACATTGAAAAATCAAGTGAAATGAGCAGAAAGGGTGAAAAAGCTTTAAGAACATTGCAAAATCAAGAGAAATGAGTAGAGCGGGTGAAAAAGCTTTAATATTATTGCAGAATCAAGAGAAATGAGCAGAAAAGAGGAAAAAGCTTTAATATTATTGCAGAATCAAGAGAAATGAGCAGGAAGGGTGAAAAAGCTTTAAGAACTTTGAAAAATGAGGAGAAATAAGCAGAAAGGGTGAAAAAGATTTAAGAACATTGCAGAATCAAGAGAAATGAGCAGAAAGGGTGAAAAAGCATTAAGAACTTTGAAAAATCAAGTGAAATGAGCAGAAAGGGTAAAAAAGCTTTAATATTACTGCAGAATCAAGTGAAATGAGCAGAAAGGGTGAAAAAGCTTTAAGAACATTGCAAAATCAAGAGAAATGAGTAGAGAGGGTGAAAAAGCTTTAATATTATTGCAAAATCAAGAGAAATGAGCAGAAAGGGTGAAACTGCTATAAGAACATTGCAACATCAAGAGAAATGAGCAGAAAGTGTGAAAAAGCTTTAAGAGCATTGCAAAATCGAGAGAAATGAGCAGAAAGGGTGAAAAAGCTTTAATATTATTGCAGAATCAAGAGAAATGAGCAGAAAGGGTGAAAAAGCTTTAAGAACTTTGAAAAATTAAGAGAAATAAGCAGGAAGGGTGAAAAAGCTTTAAGAACATTGCAGAATCAAGAGAAATGAGCAGAAAGGGTGAAACTGCTTTAAGAACTTTGCAAAATCAAGTGAAATGAGCAGAAAGGGTGAAAAAGCTTTAAGAACATTGCAAAATCAAGTGAAATAAGCAGAAAGGGTGAAAAAGCTTTAAGAACATTGCAAAATCAAGAGAAATGAGTAGAGTGGGTGAAAAAGCTTTAATACTATTGCAGAATCAAGAGAAATGAGCAGAAAGCGTGAAAAAGCTTTAAGAACTTTGAAAAATTAAGAGAAATAAGCAGAAAGGGTGAAAAAGCTTTAAGAACATTGCAAAATGAAGAGAAATAAGTAGAAAGGTTAAAAAAGCTTTAAGAACATTGCAAAA